TGCTTTTAACTATGTAAAGCACTTTGTGCTACATTTTTTGTATGAAAAGTGCTTTATAAATAAAGATTGATTGATTGATGCAAAGAGATGTCTGACAAAATGTTCACTTTTCTGTGAAAACAGGAAGTTTGATGAGTGTGCCTGTCAGTGCTTCCTGCTGTCTCACCCTTTGGTTTAGAGGATCTGTTCTTGCAGAATATCAGCACTGACACTGATAACAGGATGATGATGAGAGCCAGAGTCAGACCCACAACCAGCAGCACATCTGCAGCAGTTTGACGAGAACAACACGTTATTTTAGATAAACACCTCCTGATGAGTGTGAGCACCAGCCCTTCACGTGGGCTGTAAAGGTAGCTGAGTGCACATGTACAGTATAGTTATATGCAAGTTTCTTCCATGGAGAATTTGGTCAGACTGTCATGCTGTATGAGCATAAAACCATGTCTACATGACATACTCACTTCTGATTGGTTCCTAGTGGCAGATAACAGCAAAATTATACAAATGATACCAATTCACTTAAAGTATGGACGTCTATAAAATCTTCCATCTCTCAAACCCAGCGGATGGACGCACCTGTAGATGCTGTCCTCTCAGACTGCTCAGTGGTTCCAGTGAAAGTTGTGGAGGCTGATGGGAGGACTGCTAAAGAAGTTCAGCCATATGTTTTTTTTTCAGGTGTTTGAGGCGAACAACAGAAAACAACACATAACAACAATTTGACACATAAACATCATGAAAAGACAAAAGGAAACCAAACGTTAGCAGCTGTCAGAGACAAATACAAATTTCCTTTAATTCTCCAGATTCATGAATGAATTTGTATAGAAACTCACCTTCTGTGACAGTAATCTCAAACTCTCTGTATGGATCAGTACTAAAGGATGTGTCCAGGTAACATCTGTACCGTCCTGAGTCAGACTCCCTCAGCTGTTTAATGGTCACATACAGAATACCACTTGTACCAGATTCTTCTTCATATTCAGCGCTGTATCTGTCTCTCTGAGCTCTGGCCCCCTGAGTCTCGATTAAAATCCCATCTCTTTCACATTCTCCCCTGCAGAAGTACTTCCTCCTTGCAGAGTGTTCAAAGGAACATCCGACTGTGAGAGAGCTTCCAGTTTCTTTATCGAAGTGTTTCAGCTGATCATCGTTTCCATCCAGCAGTGCTGTTAAAGAGACAAACGATCAGTAGTTACTATCTGTGCTGAAGATGATGCAGTCTGATCAGAGTAACTCCAGTTTGACCCACAGTTACACTGGGAGCTGCCCAGTTCAACCAGTCAGTGACTGGAACAGTCAAAGACCTCCATCCTAAACATCAGTATGTGAGTGTGAGTACTGCTGGAGGTCTGATTAACCAGAGCTGAGGAAATGAGAGCTGCGAGTGTTTCTGAGCGTGCCGTGTGGTGAGCTAGAATATTAGCCACAGCAGACTGTGCCTCAGCATCACAGATGGTTCATGACACAGCGATTTATTTGTGCTGCTGTGAAAACTCATTGACATCCTGCTCTTATATGATTTAGTGTTTGAGCTTGGTAAGAAGATTCTGCTGTTTCTATAACAGGAGGAGCACTTATGTAAATGGACGGGCTCTTATGTGGCACTTTTTTACTTTATACAACTTTTCTCATTCAC